AATCCTTACAAGATGTGGGAGCCAAGGGCCATGAGCAGCCTACACTCACAGCAGTTGGGCACAGGTGTGCCCAGTACTGAGGTCTGGACATGACTCTTTTTAAAATCTATATTTTTATTGAGTTCAGAGATTAAGGGAGAGAGGGAGACAGATGGAAACATCAGGGATTAATGCCGGGGTTCCTTTTTCCATCATTACAAAGGGTTCAGGAAATCTGGAGAAGGCTGTGCGTAGACTAATAAAGAGTCCAGAGACAAAGTATAATTTTGAAAGGCATTTGGCGGTCAGAGGAGCTTAGTTTAAAGGAAACTACAATAAATTCTAAGATCTAAGGTCTAAGGTCTCCTCATCCCAGGACCCCATGCTATTTTTTTTTATAAAATCTTTATTGTTCAGATTATTACGTTTGTTCCTCTTTTTTCCCCCCATAACTCCCCTCCTCCCAGTTCCCGCCCCACCCTCAGCCTTCACTCCCCACCCACTGTCCTCATCCATAGGTGCACGATTTTTGTCCAGTCTCTTCCCGCATCTCCCACTCCCCTTTCCCCCCCAAGAATAGTCAGTCCATTCCCTTTCTATGTCCCTGATTCTATTATAATCACCAGTTCATTCTGTTCATCAGATTATTTATTCACTTGATTCTTAGATTCACTTGTTGATAGATGCGTATTTGTTGTTCATAATTTGTATCTTTACTTTTTTCTTCTTCCTCCTCTTCTTAAAGGATACCTTTCAGCATTTCATATAATACTGGTTTGGTGGTGATGAACTCCTTTAGCTTTTCCTTATCTGTGAAGCTCTTTATCTGACCTTCACTTCTGAATGATAGCTTTGCTGGATAAAGTAATCTTGGTTGTAGGTTCTTGGTATTCATCACTTTGAATATTTCTTGCCACTCCCTTCTGGCCTGCAAAGTTTCTGTTGAGAAATCAGCTGACAGTCGTATGGGTACTCCCTTGTAGGTAACTGACTTTCTTTCTCTTGCTGCTTTTAAGATTCTCTCTTTGTCTTTTGCTCTTGGCATTTTAATTATGATGTGTCTTGGTGTGGTCCTCTTTGGATTCCTTTTGTTTGGGGTACTCTGCGCTTCCTGGACTTGTAAGTCTATTTCTTTCACCAGGTAGGGGAAGTTTTCTGTCATTATTTCTTCTGGCACCCCTATAATTCGGATGTTGGTACACTTGAAGCTGTCCCAGAGGCTCCTTACACTATCTTCATATTTTCGGATTCTTTTTTCATTTTGCTTTTCTGGTTGGGTGTTTTTTGCTACTTTGTATTTCAAATCTTTGACTTGATTCTTGCGATCCTCTGGTCTGCTGTTGGGAGTCTGTATAGTATTCTTTATTTCAGTCAGTGTATGCTTAATTTCTCATTGGTCCTTTATCACAACATCGAGGGTCTCACTAGATTTCTTGAGGATCTCACTATATTTATTGGCGGTCTCACCAGTCTTTTCGAGGGCCTTACTAAATTTATCGGTGGCTTCTAGACAGTTCTTGAGAGACCTTAAAAGTGTGGTTTTGAACTCTATCTCCAGCAGTTTTCTTTCCTCCATTTCTGTCATTTGTGTCCTGTTTCTTTGTCTCGGCATTTTTTGTGCTTCACTGTGTCAATAGAGTGGCTTTCTGTGCTAAGTGTCCCAATTACCTGAGGTAGACACTCTTGGTGCACCCCCTTGTGGGCTTTGTGCAGTCTTGTTGTAGTTAAGCCTTGATTGTTGTATGTAAAGCTGGGAGGATTTTGACCTCCAGGCCAATTGGCTGTGAGAATCAGCTGTGTCTACAGCAATCTCCGGTGTTTACCTATGCTGCCATCTTGGTTTTTCCCCAACCACTGCATTGTTTACCTCAGACTATAAAAGGTCGGTGCGGACTGAGCAAGGGTAGAAGTCCTTCCTCTTGAGTTGGACTTACCTGCCTGGTCCCCCAATATTTCCAAATTATCTCTTGTCTTTTCTATTTCATTTGTGTGGGGCTCCTCTTCCAGATATTGAACCCTGAACCACGCAGGACGTGGGAGGAAACATTTGCGACAGGCTTTGGTTTATTTTTAAATGTCTAAACAAGCTGATTCCCTGACACACACCCCCTACTGCCCTCAATGAAAACATCTTAACTGTTGGGGGTTTTATTTTTGCACATTTTAACTATTTAGTTTGTGTTCCAAATGGGTCTGAAACTTACCCCCAGAAAAGGTAGGGGTCAGCTTTTAGGCCCCTGAGTACCCATGTGCTAGTCAGACTGGAATGAAGATGTGGGTGCTTCTGAGATGCTTGTCTGGGGGCCTGCAGGGGAGAGCTATGGCTCTGTGGCTACCAAGCCTAGAATGGGATTCACTAAACTGAGCCTCTCACCATTGCCAGGCAGTGGCTTTGGCCCTGAGTTGATTCATCTGAGGGAAGGGGCGTGAGTTGATGGGGCTCAAAGGCTTGGCCTGACAAGGATGTCTTATTCCCTAGACGTTTCTGCAGGATTCCTTTCTGGGCACCTTGAAGATGAGCATCCGGATGCCACCCACACTCCTGAAGCTGGCAGCAAAGAGCCTGCTGAGGGACCAGGCCTCAGCCATTGCCACTCTGGAGTACCTGCCCGCCGAGCTCTTCCCATACCTGTTCGAAATGGCCTACTGTGGTGGATGCCACCCCCAGCTACTGAAGGCATTGGCCCAAGCCTGGCCCTTCACTGTCCTCCCTCTGGGGGTCCTGATGCAGAGTCCCCCTGATCATGCCCCAACCAGGGCCGTGGGCTTAAAAGCCATGTTTGACGCGATTGATGTTGTGCTTGCCCAGGAGGTTCGGCTGAGGTAAGGCTGCTCCAGGTGCCTGGTAGGGTCCTGACTGAGCATCTGGGAGACAGTGGAGGTCAGGGTGTTTGGAGGGCCTGAGGGTGGACCTGAAGTTTCTGACTGTGCCAGTGAGGCTCGGGGAGCCCTTGCACACTGCGCAGCTCACTGTGGGAAGTGGAGGAATGGCTACTGGGCAGGGGGACCTGCAAAACATGCCCTGCCTCCTCCCAGTGGTACTTAAAGGTACTCCAAGTGCTGAGCAGGAGGGATGGAAGGGAAGGAGATGAGCAAAGCAAAGCAGAGGGAGGAGGAGGGCAAGGGAGAAGCTGACCCTGGGATTCAAAGTAGAAGCTCAGGGTGGGGGTGCAGTCTGATTGGTGCCTCAACTCAGACGCTCAATCTCATTCTGACCTGCCCTCACTCAGTCGATCTTTTTAAAAATATATAATTTTTATTGATTTCAGAGAGGAAAGGAGAGATAGCGATAGAAGCTTCCATGATGAGAGAGAATCATTGATCAGTTGCCTCCTGCACACACATACACACACTCCCCCAACCCACTGGGCATTGAGCCTGCAACCCAGGCATGTACCCTGACTGGGGATTGAACTGTGACCTCCTAGTTCATAGGTTGATGCTCAACCACTGACACACACAGTCCATAAAGCATCTCAGCCAATGCCCTGTTGACCTGGAAGAATCTCAGCTAATGTCCTGCTCTCCCCACAGGAGGTGCAAACTGCGGGTGCTGGATTTAAGGAACACAGGTGCCAACTTCTGGGATATGTGGCTTCGAGTCAGCACCGAGAATTGCTCATGGACAGAACCAGTGACTGTGCACAGCTCCAGCCCCAGCATGGAGCATCCCCTGGCTCCCTTGGAGGTGTTCCTAGTCCTTACCTTCGATGAAAGGGGCCAGGATAAGTTTTTCATGCACATCATCCAATGGGCCCAGCAGAGGGAAGGGTTGCTACATCTGTGCTGCAAGACACTGAGGACTTCTGAGGTGCCCTTCCAGAGGGTCAGGAAGGTCCTGGATAGGGTGAGGCTGGACTGCATCCAGGACATGTGTGAAAGTGAACACCCGGTACCTGCACACCCTGAGGACATTTGCTCTCTACCTGGGAGCGATGAGAAACTCTTTCTCCTGGAAGAGTTGACTGAGGACTATGAGGAGGACGGGGGTGAAGAGGAGGAGAGGGAGGAAGAAGCACAACAGGAAGAGGAGCAGGAGTTGAGGGTGGAAGAGGAGTTGGAGAGGGAAGAGCAGGAGCAGGAGTGGGAGGAGGCAGAGGTGCAGGAGTGGGAGGAGGCAGAGGTGCTGGAGGAAGGGGAGCAGGAGGAAGGGGAGCAGGAGGGGGAAAGGCAGGAGCAGGAGGAGCAGCAATCCTTTTCCCAATTCCTCTCTCAGATGCTCATGCTGCGGCACCTCCGGCAGCTCTACATGTGTGCTCTTTCCTTCCTCCCAGGCCGTCTGGACCAGGTGCTCAGGTGAGTTGTGGAACAGTGGACGCAGCTCCAGAATGGCAAGGGAGTGGTCTTGTTTGCTGCTTTGAGGGTGGTGTCCCGTGAGCACCTTAGAGAAGCATGTTTTAAAATCTGCCTGTCAGGAGGGATAGCAGAACTGGCTCAATGGGTGACCCAGCGAGCCGGGGTCTGTGAATTCTTCCTTAGGGAGAGATGTCTAAGTGACCAGGACTTAGGAAGGGGGAGGGAGGAGGAAAAGCCACATCGCATGGAGCATTTCCAGGCAGAAGCTCTGTGCCCACTCGCCATGTGAACGCACGTGAGCCTGTCTCAGCTTCCCCATCTGTCAGAGGTGGTCTAGGGCTCCAGGAAGGTCATTAGTAGAAAGGAAAGGCACGATTCCGCAGCTAAGGGAGCGGGAGGGAAAGGACTGCAAAGAGTGACAGGTGGTTTGTGGTAGAAGTCGCCTCTGCAGACTGGCCTCCCAGTTAGTTGTCGCTGCACGATCTTTCCAGGTCTTCTCTCTCTCTCTCTCTCTCTCTCTCTCTCTCTCTCTCTCTCTCCGTTTTTTAAATCCTCACCTGAGGATATTTTCCCATTGATTTTTAGAGAGTGGAAGGGAGGGGAAAAGAGAGAGAAACATCTATGTGAGAGTGACACATCGATTGGTTGCCCCCTGCTCATGCCCCAACCAGGTCCAGGGATTGAGCCTGCAAATGAGGTGCATGTGTTTGAGTGGTAATCAAACCTGAGACACGTCAATGCAAAGGCCAACACTCTATCCATGGAGTCAAACCTGTTAGTGCCATGTTTGTTGTTTATGTATTACATGAACTAACCTCATGTTGCCCAGATATCTAGGGCCTGGAGCCCAAGCACTGGACAGAAGGAAGCCTGAGTTGACAGCATTCTTAGTTTTGTCTCCCACACTTAAGGTTCAGGGATGTCCACCCTTAACCTAGACACTGTGACGGGTTCTCTGAGCAGATTCCCGGGGTTTTCCTTCTGTCCAGTCACCATCCAGAGTGCAGTGCGCTGCTTGGCAGCTGAGGACAGGAAGCTCTGGCCATGTCGTGAACTTGTCCCAGCCTAAAAGGAGACTGGGTGTCCTGGCTGCTGGCCTTCATCAGATTGTGAAGACAGCCCTGGGCTTGGGCAAATCCATCTTCTGCCACCTGCAGGACCCGCTTTACTGGCTACCCCCTTCCCCAGGCCCTAACCCGCTTTGTGTCTCCCCAGGTGCCTGCAGACTCCCTTGGACAAACTCTGCCTAATGTTTGGCCAGCGGCTGACGCATTCAGACCTCACATACCTGTTCCAGTGCCCGAACCTCAGGCAGCTGAAGTTCCTATATCTATGTGACCTCAGCCTTGGGGATTTCAGTGAGCCCCTCCGAGCTCTGCTGGAAGCAGTGGCACCCACCCTCCAGGGCCTGGGTCTGGATAAATGTGGGATGGGGGACTCCCAAGTCGAAGCCATCCTGCCTGTCCTGAGCCGCTGCCACCAGTTCAGACACTTCACCATATTTATGAACAACTTCTCCGTGGCCACCGTGGAGAAGCTGCTGCGCCACACAACCGGGCTGCGCAGTTTAGAGCGAGAGGTGTACCCCATCCCCCTGGAGGGTTACAGGACCCAAGGGATTGTCAACCAGGAGAGACTTGCCCTGATCCAGGCTGAGCTCACGAGGATACTGAGGGAGTTAGGACAGCCCAGGACCATCCATCTTGTCACCAAGAATCGTATACATAGGAAGTTTTATAAGGTGGCGTTTTCATGACATGGAGCCCGTGATGTGCCCCTGTAGTGACTCTGCTCACTGGGTGCACCCAGCAAAGGCTTCTTTTCTGGGCCTTTGGAAGCCGAAACCTTGGGCTGGGGTGCATTATGCAGGGGTCACCCACGTTTCACGTTCATGCTCAGTGTGAATGGGGAAAGGGAGGGACCTAGCCTGGGTACAGGATTGCAGGGCCAAAGGTTGGGGAGTTCATGGGACCCCAAAGGCAAAGTGTCCTACAATCAGAAACATGAATCTGATTTGCTTGGGGACAGGGAGAGGTATTTGGCCTCCAGCTGCATGGGTGGGAGTCAATCCTGGGTGGATGGTTGGAAAGGAATGTTCAGAAATAAAGACAATTTCAAATGCCAACGTCTGGTCCTCTGTCATGTATTAACCTGTCTCCCCAGTTTACACCTCAGGACCCTCCAGTTACTGATGAAAAAAAGTTGTGGAGGGCTCAGGATCAGACACTGGAGCTGCTGGGATGCGGTTCGGCTGCAGGGCTCAGCACCAATTTGTCACTCCCTCCAGGTCTTTCCTTCTCTCTGGGCATCTCTGCCTCCTTGTGGTTGCTCAGTGGGTGGATACAATGGGACATGCTAAGTGGCCCACCAACCCGCGAGTGAAGGGGACTCGCTGCTGGGACTGACCCTGGACATGAGATGTCCTCATGGTGCTGCTGGTGAACCCCCAAGTCAGGACTTGTGCCAGGAGGGATTCAGGGCACAAGGCAGTGTCCCCAGTACCTCAAGGTCTTGTCCACGCTGCAGAAGAACCGAGCCGCTGGGCCTCCCAGCCCATGCTTGTCAGCCTGCTGAGGAGGAAGTAACGTGCCTGTGGCCAGGAAAATCATCCAAATTCCTTTGATCGAAATATGAAAGTCATTCAGGCACATAACACTTTTTCTTAGTATTTCTACACCACATAAGATGTAACCCTGGAGACAGGTCATATCCATGGGAATTGGCTTTATTCCCATAACCTCTCTCATCTCTCTCTCTATGGAGGAAGCCTAGAGTAGCGTGTTTTAAGTCAGCCTGTCAGGATGGGTAACAGAAGGACTGGTAAATGCGTGAGGTGCTGCCTGCTCTAGGTTCCTCTATTAGGCAGTGTTCTCTGGACTAACCAATAGGGTCTACATGGAAGTATTTAAGACATTTATAGGAATAGGATCATATGTTGATCCCTATTATCTGTGCTTTGCAAACTGGAGAACCAGCAAACTCAATAGTATAACTAAGTCCAAGTGTGGAGGTCTCAGAACCTGAGGAGCCCATAGGTAACTACCACCCTGAGGCCAAGGCCTGAGAATACAGGGCAGCTGGTGTAAACCCTGAAGTGTGAAGCCCTGAGAACCAGGAACTCCAATGTTCATGTGCAGGTAAAGATGGACCTCTCATGACTGGCTGGCGAGGATCAGGGCTGATCTTCAACTATGAATGGCCAGCCTGGATGAGGGGCTGATGGCTGTTTGCAGGCTGGCCACACCCCCTTTAGTGTGGGGGGTACCCACTGGGGTGCCTGATCAGTCTGGGTGAGGGGCTGAGGGCCATTTTCTGGCTGGCCAAGCCCCCCGGTGATGGAAGCTTCCAGCCTCTCCTTTTTTTCTTCTTTTTATTCTGGGATTTATTTACCTTCTATAATTGAAACTTTGTAGCCTTGAGAGGAGCTCAGAGCCGGCCAGGGTGGGTGGGAGGGAAGCCTCCTGCTCACTCCAGCTCCGTGGCTGCCGGACGCCATCTTGGTTGGGTTAATTTGCATATAGCTGCTCTGATTGGCTGGTGGGCGTGGCTTAAGGTGTAGCAAAGGTGCGGTCAAATTGCATGTTTGTCTTTTTTTAAAAATTGTTTTATTGCTTAAAGTATTACAAAGGGTATTACATATGTCTCCTTTTTTCCCCCGCCCTTGACAATCCCCTGGCCTCCCCTACCCCCCAGTGTCTTATGTCCATTGGTTATGCTTATATGCATGCATACAAGTCCTTCGGTTGATCTCTTACCCCCCTCCCTTCTTCCCCCCTACTCTCCCTGGCCTTTCGGCTGCAGTTTGACAATCTGTTTGAGGCAGCTCTGCCTCTGTATCTATTTTTGTTCATAAGTTTATAATGGTCTTTATTATCCATAAATGAGTGAGATCATGTGGTATTTTTCCTTCATTGACTGGCTTATTTCACTTAGCATAATGCTCTCGAAAGACATGTTGGTTATTATCTGGTAAGAGTTCCTTCCTTTTTACAGCAGCATAGTATTCCATCATGTAGATGTACCACAGTTTTCTAATCCATTCATCTACTGATGGGCACTTAGGCTGTTTCCAGATCTTAGCTATGGTGAATTGTGCTGCTATGAACATCTGGGTGCATATATCCTTTCTGATTGGTGTTTCTGGTTTCTTGGGATATATTCCCAGAAGTGGGATCACAGGGTCAAATGGGAGTTCCATTTTTAGTTTTTTGAGGAAACTCCATACTGTCTTCCATAGTGGCTGCACCAGTCTGCATTCCCACCAGCAGTGCACGAGTGTTCCTTTTTCTCCACATCCTCTCCAGCACTTGTCATTTGTTGATTTGTTGATGATAGCCAGTCTGACAGGCGTGAGATGGTACCTCATTGTTGTTTTGATTTGCATCTCTTGGACGATTAGTGACTTTGAGCATGTTTTCATAAGTCTCTTGGCTTTCTGAATGTCCTCTTTTGAAAGGTGTCTATTTAGATCCTTTGCCCATTTTTTGATTGGATTGTTTATCTTCCTTTTGTTAAGTTGTATGAGTTCCCTGTAAATGTTGCAGATTAAACCCTTATCAGAGATGACATTGGCAAATATGTTTTCCCACGCAGGGGGCTTTCTTGTTGTTTTGTTGATGGTTTCTTTTGCTGTGCAGAAGCTTTTTATTTTGATGTAGTCCCATTTGTTCATTTTCTCTTTAGTTTCAAGTGCCCTAGGAGCTGTATCAGTGAAGAAATTGCTTCGGCATATGTCTGAGATTTTGTTGCCTTTGGATTCTTCTAGAATTTTTATGGTTTCCCGTCGTACATTTAAGTCCTTTATCCATTTTGAGTTTATTTTTGTGTATGGAGTAAGTTGGTGGTCTAGTTTCATTTTCTTGCATGTATCTGTCCAATTTTCCCAACCCCATTTATTAACCCTTTGCGGTCGTTTGTCTACTCTCAGCCACCAAAGCTTTTTTACCGTTCTGTTCGTATGTCTGCTCTCAGCCACCACAGCAAGGAACCGTATGAATCGTTACTCTATTCATTCATGTATCAGTTCATAATTTCTCTGAAAGCTCTTAAGTGTCTAAGCGACCTTGTCATGAACCAAAACATTGCCCCAACAAATCGGAGATATTGAAACTCAATATAAACAAACGCGGTCATTCCACACTCACCATGCAAAACACCGTGGCGAGTCAGTTGCCTTTTGAGAGTGAAGAAATCGACAAGCTTCGGAGATACTTCGCAGAATTTCAAATAAAGCTTTACAAATTACGTTTAACTGTAATTAGGCATTCTCGCTTGTTAAGATATTTCAAAATAATACTCCAAAATGGCAAAAAGAATGTTACCGAAAGAAGTGTACTGGAAATCTGAAAGTAACGATGAAGAGTTTTATTTTGTCAGGGCCTCAGATAAAGATGAAAGGCTTAATGGGAAACTGCATATATTGCGGCACTGTGAAGGTGTGAAAAGTAAAGATTGCTCTGTATGTTCGAACAGAAAGATTAGGGGCGGAAGATGCCAAACTAATTATTTTTGCAATACATGTAGTTGAAAACCAGGACTGCATATTGGAGACTGCTTTCAAAGATACCACACAATAGAGAAATATAAAATATAATTTTTACATAAAAACATGTTATTGAAACACATTATTGTCTAAACATACATCTAATGTTCAAAAAAGAATTAATAAATCTTATTTATCCTTCATAATCTTGCATGTTATGTATCACTGCTCTTTCAATGGAAATTAATTCTGACCAGTACGACACCCATGTCCAAATTTAATACGACCGCAAAGGGTTAAAGAGACTATCTTGGCTCCAGTGTATGTTCTTGCCTCCTTTGTCAAATATTAATTGAGCATATTGGTTCTGGCCGATTTCTGGGCTCTCTATTCTATTCCATTGATCTATATGTCTGTTCTTGTGCCAGTTATTATTGAAAGGTACTTGTTTGTAGCCATTTCTATTTTTTGTGGCTGTTTTCTTTCTGAACTTTTTATTTCTTCTTTTTATACCAGTCCCTTTAGAATTTCTTGCATTGCTGGCTTGGTGGTGATAAACTCCCTTAGCCTTTTTTTGTCTGTGAAGCTTCTTATTTCCCCTTCAATTTTGAATGATAGCCTTGCTGGATAGAGTATTCTTGGATTCAGTCCTTTGCTTTGCATCACTTTGTAAATTTCTGTCCATTCTTTTCTGGCCTGATGTGTTTCTATTGAGAAATCATTTGATAATCTAATGGGAGATCCCTTGTATGTAACTTTCCATCTCTCTCTTGCAGCCTTTAAGATTCTCTCTTTGTCCTGAACATTTGCCATGGTAATTATGATGTGTCTTGGTGTGGGTCTTTTCGGGTTCACCTTGTTTGTGACTCTCTGTGCTTGTGTGACTTTTTTCCTCCCCACCTCAGGGAAGTTTTCTGATATTATTTCTTCAAATAGATTTTCTAACCCTTGTTCCTCTTTCTGTTGTTCTGGCACCCCTATTATTCGTATGTTGTTTCGTTTTATGTTGTCCCATAGCTTCCTTAGGCTCTCCTCCTGTCTTTTAATTTTTTTCTCCAATTGCTGTTCAGTTTGTGTGTGTTTTGTTTCCCTGTCTTCTAATTCGCTAATTCGGTTCTCCGCTTCTCCTAGTCTACTGTTGAAACTTTCAATGGTGTTTTTTTTTTTTTTTTAAATATATTTTATTGATTTTTTTTACAGAGAGGAAGGGAGAGAGATAGAGAGATAGAGAGAGAAACACCGATCAGCTGCCTCCTGCACATCTCCTACTGGGG